TCCTCTCGGTAGTGCATGTAGTATGCGAACGATCAGGAGTAGAATTATAAGTAGGATGCATTGCCTCCTCCAGCCTCATATTTCCACGATGACGCCGTTTGAAGATTATCTTTTTCGGACTCTTTTTTAAAAGCTCAAGTAGACCGTTGCTATGCTCCTCACAGCCCCCTTTGCCTGCCGGCGTTGTGGCCTCGTTTATAAGTGATACTAAAAACACGCGCAACCGCGCCGTGCTTCCGGTCGGAAGCGGCCGGAGACTTCCGGTCACTTAGCGGCACCTCGCCACACCATCCCCGTGTGCCTCCATGGATGGGGAGGGCGGAAGAGGCTCGGCCATACCGCGCCCCAAGCAGCACCTCGGCCGCCGAGTCCTCTCGGGCCCGCGGCCTCTTAAAAGTGGTTTCTATTACGGGCCTATTTCTCTTATAAGCAATTGAAACACCTTTTAAAAGTTATTCAAGGGCAAGGTAAAGAGTGGCTCTGCAAGGCCCCCTGTCACCGTATAAAAATGAAATGCTTGATCCGCTTGATCCTATTACGAATTTCTGAAAACGTATTATTACGGTTTAAACATCTGTGTACGTGAAAGCCCGTTTTTTTTTGTTTTTTTTTAGTTTTTTTTTGTTTTGTTTGATTTTTTGTTACAGATATCAAATTGTGTATTGTTTTGGAAACTTTCACCTCAATTTCGCCGCGTTTGTTCCCTCAGGTGCAGCGGCGTGGAGCGCGATGCCGGGGCTGGCCCTGCAGGCCCTGCTGCTGGCGGTGCAGGCCGTGGTGCCGGCCCTGGTGCTGGCGCTGGTGCTGGGCCCCGCCCTGCCTCGCGCCGCCGTCATCGACCAGGTCGTCTGCCCGGCCGAGTGCTTCTGCCTCTCCAAGAGCGAGGTGAGCTGCTGCTGGGGGCGCGAGCGCCTACGACCAAGCTGCGCGGCGCGACCACTGTCAGGGCGTGAACAAGGCGCGTATCACGCACACCCACACACACGCACACCCACACAGTAAGAAAGGGGGTAGGCAGGCAAGGGCTCGTTACGAATTTGCAGGGAGACATATTGAATGTCCCCCTCCACCGCCTCCCCTCCCCCTTCACCCGATGGGGGACTCTCTTTTGGCAAGCACCATTGCGCCTTTATCCCTCCATTTCTTGGCGGCCCCCGCCGGCCCCTCCGCCCGCCGTCGGTTCACCCTTTCAGCCATTTGTTCTCTCTCCACCTCTACATCTCAACTCAACGCCCGCCCCACCCGCCCCCCGCCCACCACGCTAGGCACGCCACTCGGGCCGATCTGTCTCCCAACACCCCTCTCCTCTCCTCCAACGCCCTCCGAGCTTTAAAAAGCATATTCGCATTTATTTTTTGAGGGCGGAGAGAGAGAAAGAGAGGGAAGGTTAATAGTGGCCCATAATTATTTGCCCGATCATCTGCGGGCCCACGCTCAGGCGCAAACGCGTCAGCTTCTCGGATTTCGAGTAGGACACATTCTCACGCATACATTTTCGCACAACGATGCAAGAAGATCGTCCCTTCCTGCTGAGCCGCGACGGTTGTGCCACACGGTCTGCAAAGCGAGATGAATGGCATGCTGGGGTCGGGCTGAGGAGGCGAGGGGACGTCCTCGCTCCATGGTCAAGTAAAAACTGAAACTGACCGCGGGTCGGAACTGACAGGACCTATGATCTCTCAAGCTGAGTCTCTAGCCGACAGACAACCGCCTGCCCTCTCTCCTCCCCCTTCTTTCCCCCCACAACAGCCCACAGCCCACAGCCCTCGGTTCCCCAACCCTTTCTCCCGCCCCCAGTCCCCAGCGACGACTGGTTAGGAAAACTAGGGGACGGATTCTGCTGCTAATTTGGATTACGGAAAAGGAAGTAGTTGTCAGTCCTAACGGGAGCACTGCCGGGCCGGAGGGTCCCCTGCCCTCCCAGGTCGCTGACGGCGGGGGTGCGGGTTTTGGGGCTGGCGGTGCAAGTCTAGGGCCGTGATTCAATTCCAAGGAGTCGGCGGGATCCTTAAGGATCCTTACCTTCGAGTAAGACGGGTCGGCTCCAGTCTCGGCGGTAATTTTGAATAAGTGGCGGCCGACGTGGTG